GACTTTATCAAAAGGTGTCAAAAGCAGAAGACTGCTTGTTTGGTAACATACTTCATATCACTGTAGCATCTCCTGCTACTTTAAAAATCTGTATATATAAATCCTAGTAGCATACATGATTTTCCATAGCTTGTTGTTACTGTGTGTTATGTCCTTTCTCGATTCCTCAAAATAATTGTTCAAACTGCAGCTTGATTTTCAGATCAGGTAGGGGAGTAGTGCTCCTAGTAACAGTTAGGTTCTTACGTATTTCTTGAAAGCAGACATCTTTGCAGAGGAGAGAGATTCTGTAAAAGTCTTCTTTAAACTGATGAGTGCAGGTCTAAGCTCATTCCTCTCCGTAAAATTCACTGGGGAGATAGCCCTTACAAGTATGAGAAAAGACTTCTTTAAGATACTCAGTCAACCACAATAGACAACCTGTAGGAAATCAGACATTTTTTCCTCTGGCAGTAATCACCTAAGAGGGGCTGAAAATAATCACCACTAGGCCTGACTGAAAGGTTAGAGGTACTTTAGGCTGGGAAGGGTGCTCAACAGTCAGAGCAGCTTGAATTGTCATGCTCATGTTTCATTTTCCATCTTTCCCTCCACAGCTGTGCAGTATGCATTAATAAATTAGAAAGTGGGAGAGCTGTATTCATACCCTGTGGTTGTACTTCATCTTTCTCCTCTGTACAAAAGGGAGGGAAAATTGAAGTGGTATTAAAACGCTGGGGAAAAAAATGTTGTTATTTTAAGGGTTCAAAGTTACTGCATGATGAAACAGGACACAAGTAGGCTAGGAAGAAAAGAATCACAGGCATGCCCTTTATAAGCAGCTGGTTTAGAAACAAAAGCAGCAGGTATCTTTTGTGGAAATCAGTGACAAAAACTGTCAGCCTGTTTTTTTGTTTAGGATGCATTAACAGATCATGTAGTTTTCAGTATGTATGTGTAAAAGAGTAAAAAACATGTTTCTTAGATTCATGATTGTAGATAATGAGCATATTCCACTGAAGTATTTTCTATAACC